CATCTATCTGAATGGGATATGGTTAGCTGTACCAATCAGGTAGGTACCAGGTACTACTTGTATACCAGTTTCCTTATTATTTTGAGGTAGGAAAAGCAAAATGTTAATCCTCGGTGTATTGAAAATGATTTTACCCACAGTCACTTCAAGGGTCTGACCTAGTTCATATTCCCAATCATTAGTAAATTTGTGAAGTTTGCATGTCATTGTTTGGGGCATAGTAACACAGGGAAATCAATTTATGCTTGTTTGTTAATTGCATACACATTTGTCCAGTGTGGTTGGGGACTTCAGAAAGGTGGCACTGGTTCTACACATCGGGTGAGCTTTCATGTAAGATTTCAACTGAATGTAGGAGAACTGCATGTTGTGTTCTAGATTGCAATTAGATTTAAGGTCGGATAAATTAATATTTTTGTATCTGATCTCTCTGTCTTTCCAGTGTACTATTGGTATTAAGTATTAAAAGCATCTCCGAGGGGTAGCTAATGATATGGGAGCTGAGGAACAAACTTTTTGAAGTTTTTTCCCACATCCGTAAAGTAAGAAAAATTGTTGGCAGTAAATTCATAAAAAAATACATTTGGCCGCTCTGGTCTGGGGATTCAATGACCAGAAGGATTGTATACCAACCCATTGTGGGTTATTGTTAGATCATTGTAAGGTTAAAGCTTGAGTTAAAACTGTAGCTTCATGGAATAATTTTACAACGGACAATCCATTCCTTCTCTAGACATTGATTTTTTTGTTATTGTTACTATATTTATATAGCGCCAACAAATTCCATAATGCTTTACAATGGTTGGACTAACAAACATGGAATTTTAACCAGACAAGTTTGACGCACAGAAACAGAGGGGTTGAGGCCCTGCTAAATTAGCTTAAATGCTAGAAGGAGTAAGGTAAAGCGACACAAAATGTAAGGGAAGTATTAGTCAAGTAAATTGGTATGATAGTATTCAATGAAGACTTAGTGTGGGGTTTTGGAGCCATTAACAGTTTAATTGATATGCTTTTGTGAAAAAGTGAGTTTTTAATGATTTTTTTTGAAGGAGTGGAGACTAGGTGAGCATCTAATGGAAAAGGGAAGGGAATTCCACAGGAACGGTGCAGCCCTAGAGAAGTCTTGAATGCGAGCATCCGAGATGGGAGTACGAACAGAGGATAGCACAGGTCTTCGGCAGAGAGTAGGGGCCTAGACGGGACATATTTGTGTATTAGGGAGGATAGATAGGTGGGAGTAGCATTCTGTAGAGATTTGAAAGCAAGAACCAGAATTTCATATTAAGCCCTGCATCGTACAGGAAGAAAATGCAGGGACTGACAGGGGTGAGGTGTGGGAGTTGTGGGTGGACAGGAAGATGAGCCTCACCTCTGCATTCATTATAGACTGCAGTGCGGCAAGTTGGAAACATGTAAGACCACTGAGAGGTGGTTTGCAGTAGTCAAGGCGAGAGAGGACAGTGGCATGGAGCAGCACCTGGCATTAAGTAGGGGTGGATGCACGCAATGTTTTTAAGATGGAAGCGGCAGGATTTGGCGATTGACTGGACATGAGGGGTGGAGGAAAGGTCAAAATCAAAGAACACCTAGGTACCGATCCTGTAGGGTGGAGCTGATGGTAGCACCATTAACGTAATTGCACTAGGAACTCTCATCCGATGACCCTGATGGATCAATTTATCCAGTGTGGCTTGCACAAGGAAAACTGTTTGGATAACTGAATTGGTAGTGCTCTAAACAGATATTAAAGTTTGGGAAGCAGCATTGTTTTGTTGCTGCTATGCTGATCATTTTAATTTACACATTCTTTTCAGACCTGGATCAAAAAACTGAAAGGCCGACTCCTTATCATGAATGTTTAAACCAGAAATGTGATGTCATTCAACATCACAAATTCACAGGAATAACTTCTCAATCAATTGAGAAGGTTGTTGACATACCAGGTCAAGAAAAGAAATTACCTTTTGATAAAAACTAACATCACTTGATGGACTAATGTATAAAGACCATACCATATATGTAACCCCTTCTCTATGTCTGTTGTGGTTCATGATTTTGCATGAATTTGTTTGCTCAATTCAAAGGGTTTCACAATAACAACTGTGTTAAACTTTCAGGAGCACCAAGATAACTGCCGACTACGTGCTTCAAAGAGCATCAAGATGGCCACCAGCCATGTGCTCTGGTGTAATGTAGTTACACTAACAATAAACATCACCCAGTTACACTAACAACTGAGTTAATGGTCTTTCCTCCCTCAAGTGTTGTTACTCCTGTGTCTGTCTGTCTCGCTGCCTAGGTGTTCTCTTTGACTCCGACCTCTCCTTCAAGCCTCATGTTCAATCTATTGCCAAATCCTGCCATTTCCATTTCAAAAACATTGCACGCATCCGCCCCCTACTTAACGCCAGATGCGACTAAGGTGTTGGTGCATTCCACTGTCCTTTCTCGCCTTGACTACTGTAATCCGCTTCTCAGTGGTCTTACGTGCTCCCAACTTGCGCCGTTACAGTCCATAGTGAATGTGGCAGCGAGGCTCATCTTCCTGTCCGCCCGCACCTCCCATGCCTCACCCTTCTGTCAGTCCCTACATTGGCTTCCTATAAAATACAGAGCTCAATTTAAAATTCTGGTTCTTGCTTTCAAATTGCTAGATAATGCTGCTCCCACCTATCTATCCTCTCTTATACACAAGTATGTCCCGTCTAGGCCCTTACGATCTGCTGAAGACTTATGTCTATCTTCTGCCTGTACTCCCACCTCTGATGCCCGCCTTCAAGATTTCTCGAGGGCTGCACCGTTCCTGTGGAACTCGCTTCCCTCCTCCGTTAGATGCTCACCCAGTCTCCACTCCTTCAAAAAATTGTTAAAAACCCACTTCTTCGGAGTGTATCCCTTAACAGTGGGGGGGGACGTACGTGACGTGATGACGTAACGCGTGCGAGAGGTGGGAGTGTCCGGAGGAACGGTGAGCGGGTAGAGAGGCGTGGAGGAAGGTAGCCACGCCGAATATGTTTGGCGGCTGTTTGGCGGCTGTTTGACGGCTGGAAGAAAACGCTGCTGCGACAGAAGCTGATAAGGAGAATACTAAGCATTCAAGCTCTGGTCGAGCTGCATTTAAGCTACATTCCGCTCAAAGCGCGAAAAAAAAAAAAAAATCGATGAAAGAGAAAAAAGAGAAATACAAACGGGAAAAAAAGTCTGTCTTCGAAATATTTCTGTGAACTGCTGGCATACTGAAAAGCCAGATAAAGACAAGGACAGAAAAAAGTAAAGGAGGACTTCTCTATAATAATGAGATGGAAGCTGCAAATTTTGTGAGTATCTCAAAGTAAACTTCTCCCTAACCTCTTGATAAAATGCTTATATCTTAGATATATTTAAATACATATATTTTGTTTGACAACTGAGAGTTGCAATCAAAGCAAATGATAAGCTGAGGCTGATATATAAGCCAAATTAAACCAAAAAAAAAAAAAAGGCAGAAAGAAAACAAAAGAAAGGATAAAGAAGGCAGAGAAGAAAGGAAGAAGGGAGAAAAATAAAAAAAAAAATAAAAAAAATAAAACAAACATTAAAACAGGCTATAATAACGGCAATTAAGCTAAAACAACTGCTATAATAAATGAATTGAGTCTACAGACTGTTTACAGCCTGATATAAGCAATAAAAAGCGAAAAAGTGCCGAGAGTTACAAGCAGTGAAATTGCTATTATTTATATATTATATATAAGAAGAAAAAAAAAAAAAAGAGGGGGGAGTAAAATATAGTTTGACAACTTTTTAAGAACAACAAAATGGCAACTAGAAAAACTGCTATGGAGAAAAAGAAAGAAAATAAGGAAAATAAGTCAGCAGATCCAGCAGAAAAAAGGATGTCCGGTTTCTTTTCGACCCCATCAAAAGATATACAAGAACGTAAAAGTGATAATGAAATAAATCCAGTAAATATTCTTAACACCAATATGGATCCTTCAACGACGCAAGAATCATCACCAGTTCCTGAAACAATGAAAGAAATTTTACAGGATCAGCTTAAATCACTATTAGAGGCACAATTCAATATGCTAAAACAAGATATGCTTAAGAGTCTTGAAGATATAAAACAAGATACTAATAGAATTGCTATATCAGTGCAAGCTATGGAAAAAAAACTTGTCTTGTTCGATAATCAATTAGGCACAATTAATGAAACAGTGCAATCATTAACAAATAAAACTTTAATCTTGGAACATAAAATAGCTGCCCTAGAAGACAGATCAAGACAATTTAATCTAAGAATTAGAGGAATATCTGAAGAAATAACAACGGAGAAATTAAAAGATTATTTATGCTGCCTATTTAAAGAAGTCTCTCCTGAGATAATTGATTATCAAATAGAAAAATTTCATCGAATACGAAAACCTAACATAATCGCAGCACATCTCCCAAGAGATGTTATAGTGAGCTTCTGTTCACTTTCAGCTAAAAACAACTTGATTAAAGCCAGACGTACTAACCCTTTAGAAAATTCTGTCTATAAAGATATATACTTTTTGCAAGATCTATCTTATTTTACTAGAACATGGAGGAAGTCTTTCTCAACTCTTACGGATTTTTTGAGGAAAAAAGACATTAGATTTCAGTGGAATACTCCGGCTTCCTTGAAATTCACTTGGAGACAAGAAAGACTTTCCTTCACTGATTCGGAAGAAGCAAAAAGCTGGTTAACAAGAATTCAAATATGAAAACAACTAGACTGCGGAAGTAGAATGAAAAAGTAAGGAAGAAAAGAGAGAGAATTTTTATTTTATTTTTTTTTTTTTTTTATTATTTAAATCCTATGATATATGTAATTTTTCAATATCAACTATAAGAAGGAAGAGAATCTATTAGTATAACGATACATAAGAAAAGTAGTTCTAATATGCATATGGTTGGAGCTTAGACTATCTGCAATGCATAACAATGTATGAAGATAATGGGTTGTGGGATAAAAGGCTGTTGGAAGGAAAGGAGGAAGGGAGAGTGAGGGGAGAGAGAGAAGAAGAGAAGGGGGAAACTTTTTCTCTTCTTTTTTTTTTTCTCTCTCTCTCTTTCTCTTTCTCTTTTGCGATAAAATTAGTAATTTGGTTTAGGATACTAAAAGGTCATGTAAATGCAAATATTTTTATATAAATTAAGCACAGAAAGTACTTTAAAAACTTTTTATTCATTATAAGATTATATTAGATAAGTACCTCCTATATTCTATGTGCATATTGTTGCTGTTTAGGATATTCGTAACGTATAAAAGTACATGAAAACAATGTGAAGTTGTTGAAGTAAAAGGAGATACAATAGTCATTATAAATATCTGTTCACATTTTAGTTAAGAGGGGCGTAAGGAAGGAGAAAGTGAAAGGAAATGAAAAAGGAAAAAGGGGACTACCCATTAGGCTGTCAATATATGGATGAATGGGAATAATGTGATAGACTATGTTATAAAACAGACGCTTGTAATATTCTTCATTCAACTTTCATTTAAATTTTATTTAAGCTGTTTATTAAGGTTTTTTTTTACCATATGCTCAATTAGGAAAACCTGACTAAGTTGTGTAGCACAGATAGATAAAATAGATGGATATTGAGATGGGTCTCTAGGGATTGAAGACTGTCTAGATATATTTTAGGAATTAGAAGCAAAGAAAAAAGGGGCGTGGTTTTTTTTATAGATTTGATAAAGTAAAAGAGGACAAAATTCGTTGAAATTATCTGCACTTATATTAGCAGGGAAAGGGGAAGGGAAGAGAAATAGAAAGAAGATAGAATGGAAAGATATATTCACTAAGGAGTTTATTTTTAGAAATAAAGGTAGTTATTTGTAGTATATGACACATGTAATTATAATTAATACTAATAAGAAATAATGAGTTGGTTCAATAAGGATAAATTTGATAAAAACTAAATCTGTTTGTATATGCACAAGATTGAATTAGAAAAATTGTATGGACTGACCCGCTTATTACTGCACACAAAGGGAACAGAAAAAAGGTTGAGGGAAGGAGAGATAGGGAAAAAGAAAGGACACGTGGAAATAATGTAATGAAACACGATGATAAATGGATTATTATAAATATTCTTCACTTAATTGACACTTATTTCATAATAGTTATATTTAACTGATTGATTGGTTTTTTCTTTTTTTTTTAAATTTATTTATTTATTTATTTTTTGTTGCTGTTTCTCTCTCCCTCTTGTCGTTAAATAGATTAAAGGGTTTTATTATATAACATCACCCAAATCCGGACAGTCCTACTTAGTGTCTATTCAATAGACATAGGACTAGACAGACTCTCCTGCCGGTGAGTCAATAGTCTATGTGCTTAAGGAGGATGATATCCTCCTATAGTTTTAGATGTTTTTTTTGTTTTGTGTGTGTTTGTGCAGCAATAGAGGAACAAAGAGAAGTTTACTATCTCGAGATGAAAGGAAAGAGATTTGAGAAACTCTAATGATAAGATTGTTAACTCTTAATGTCCAAGGTATGAACACAATAACAAAAAGGTCTTTAATATATAAATATTTAGTCACTGAACATATTGATCTGGGATTTTTGCAAGAAACCCATTGGAGACAGTCAGATAAACAAACGTGGGGTGGAAAAATTTCCCGCTTATTATACAGGCCTCAAATAGAGATAAAAAAAAATGTGGTGTAGCCATAATATTCAGTGAAAAAATAGAGGTAGAAATAACTCAACAAATACAAGATGTAGAAGGTAGATTTTTGATAATAATATGTAAAATCAATTCTAAGACATTCACACTTTGTAATATTTATCTCCCAAATTATTCACCAGCTTCTCACTTAAGATTTATCCTAGAAAAAATAGAAGAAGTAAAAGTGGGAAACTTAATATTGGCTGGAGATTTTAATGCAGTCATCGACCCACAATTAGATAAAAAAACTATGAAAGGAGTCAAAATAAGTAAGATGGTAATTAAACAAGCTAAATCCTTAAAAAACATAAAGGATGAATTTAATTTGTTCGATATCTGGAGGATCCAAAATCCAAATCTAAGAGATTATACACACTTCTCCAAAGTCCACTTTTCTTACTCAAGGTTAGACATGATTTGGATTGATCCTAATTTAATCGACAAAATTCAAAAAGTAAATATAAACGAAATAGTTTGGACAGACCATAACGGTGTAGTATGTGTAATAGAAGTAGGAAAAAATACAAAAAAGCCATATAGTTGGCGTCTAAATGACAGTTTGCTCAGTTTTGAAGCAAATAAAAAATCTATGGAAGTAAACATAAATAACTATTTCAAAGAAAATAACACAGAGGATATTGATCCATCCACTTTGTGGTGCGCCTTTAAAGCGGTAATAAGAGGTCATTTTATTAAACTCCAAAGCCAAACTGATAGGGGTACTAGTCTATCTCACCTCTATCGTCAGTTAGGGAAGTTGATCCAAAATAATAAACATAATCCAACAGTTGAAAATTCCGAAGAAATATCAGCAACAAAGGACAAAATTAACCAAATATTAATGGAAAGAACGGTCAAAAGCTTAGATAGATTAAAATTAAAATATTATTCCAAGGGTAACAGAGCCGACAAACTGCTATCACAAAAATTAAGAAAACAAAAGGGTATAAATAAAGTAGAAAAACTTATAAACAATGGAACAACTGTAGTAATTCCAAAACAAATAGGACAACAATTCAATGATTTCTATAGTAAGTTATATAATATTCCTCAAACTACGACAGATGAAGACATAAAAAAAAATATCTAGAAAAAATAAATAATTTTAAATTAACAGAATCACAAAGTGAAACAACAAATCAAGATATAACTATAGATGAAATAATGAAAGCTATAAATAATTTGGAGGAGTATAAAACCCCAAGTCCAGATGGATTTAGTAATTTATTTTACAAAATATTCAAAGAATCAATTTGCCCTTATATGACTAGTGCCTTTAACAGTGCGGCTAAAAGTGGATCTCTTCCAACAGAGATGTTAAAAGCTAATATTTTACCAATTTTAAAACAAAATAAAAACCCTACTGATGTTAAAAATTACCGTCCAATATCCTTGATAGATGTTGACACTAAACTATATGCTTCAGTGTTGGCCGCTAGAGTTAAAAAACTTTTACCATTGATCATACATCAAGATCAAGTAGGTTATGTCCCTGGCAGAAACTCTTATACAAGTATTAGGAAAATTGTCAACATCTTAGATAACGCTAATAGAAATAGAGTTCCAGTTTTGGCTCTGTCGATTGATGCTGAAAAAGCATTCAACAGAGTCAACTGGATTTACTTGGATGCGGTATTGTCACACTATGGTCTTGATGGTTGGATTAAGAAAGCCATCATGGCCCTTTATGCAAATCCATCAGCACGTACTAAAGGACCAAATATCATAGCCCCATGGTTTCAACTGAAAAACGGCACACGACAGGGATGTCCACTCTCACCGTTATTATATTTGCTTTCTATTGAACCATTAGCCGAGAATATTAGAAACAATAAAAAAATCTATGGCTATAAAACACTAGATGTAGAACAGAAATTAAGTTTATATGCTGATGACATCTTAATTACCATAACAAAACCAGAAATTTCATTAGATTTTTTTAATGTCAGAAATTGACAATTACAGTAAAATATCTAATTATAAATTAAATATAAATAAATCTATGATTCTGGACATTAATTTGGATGAACAAACTAAAAATAAGATCAAAGACAGATATAATTTTTTATGGGTTGAAAATAATATGGATTATTTGGGAGTCAAACTGACTAGAGATGTAAATAGAATAATGGAAATAAATTTCTTGGATTTACTACAAAATCTCAACAAATGGCTGAAAAACCGAAGAAATTTAGAAATATCTTTCTGAGGAAGGATAAATGTAGTAAATTCATACGTCATTCCAAAATGGAACTATATGTTCCAAATGTTGCCATTAAGTATTTCTAACCAGTGGCTGCAATTAATACAGAAAAGTTTCACTCAGTATATTTGGAAAGGTAAAAAACCAAGACTGAGTCAGTCAATACTAACACAAAAACTGAATAAAGGAGGACTGGCTTATCCTTTAATATCAAATAACTATAGGGCAGCGATAATTTTACATATATACAGGATGCAAGTAGAAGAAAACAAAAACGAAAGTTGGTATAAAACAGAACTTACTGCAGGAGGAGCCCCCAGCTTGGATTGTTTAATTTGGAACACTACCAAATTTTTTCAAAAAAAAGATTATCCTAGCATAACGTTAACACATTTAATGAATAGTTGGCTCAAAATTAAAAAAACCCTAAAAATAGAAAACAAAATTCTACCTTATTTAAAATTAGATTTTGTAGAACATCAAGTTGCAGATATAAATTTAAAAAACTGGAATCAAGCAGGAATTTTGCGACTGTCTCAACTACTTGTAAAAGATAAAATTAAAACTTTTGCTCAATTAACACAGGAATATAACTTACCATCAAAAGAGCTGTTTAACTATTTAAGACTTAAAAGTTTTTTGATAACACATCTAATTGTATCAAACATTAATTTGAATAATGGGTTAAATATACTTTTCAATACAGATAAGATAAATAAACCACTCTCAAAAGCTTTGGTATTAAGCAAAATGTGCAATAAAGCAAAAACTCCAACAGCCATAACTGCCTGGAAAGAAGAATTAAATATGGATATAAATATCAGGCATTGGGGTTCCTCATTGACAGAAGCTTCGAAGTGTATACACTCGTTAAACCTATTAGAAACTCATTTTAAAGTCCTAAATAGATGGTACTTATTACCAGACAAATTGAACAAAATGTACTCTTCAGCAAACCATCTATGTTGGAGATGTGGTATAAATACAGGTACTTTTAAGCATATTTGGTGGGAGTGTAGCAAACTGAACAATTTGTGGTTCAATATACAAAAGTTTGTATCCGTAGACTTGAACCTTGAGTTGAGGCTCTCTCCGGAGATTGTTTTGCTTAACCTAAACTGGCCGGTAATGACAAAGGATTTGAAAATTATTCTTATCCATCTTTTCCTAGCAGCAAAAATTGTGATTGCGAGAAGATGGAAAAAT